GATCAAGTGCTGTGCCAGCAGAAACAAAGTCTTAGGTGCTGCAGATTGTCAGCAATTTCCTTGTCCAGCAATGGATAAATACACCTGGAAACATCTACCTACCTACCTGCTCTCCCTCCCTCCCTCCCTACTGTATCTCTCTCTCTCTCCCTCTCTCTCCCTCTATCTACCTACCTATTCTCTCTCTCCCTATCTACTGTATTTCTCTCTCTCTCTCTATTACTACTTCTCTCTCTCTATCCCTCTACCTACCTACCTACCTACATTCTCTCCTTCCCTCCCTCCTTCCCTCCCTCCCTCCCTACCTATTGTATTTCTCTATCTCTCTATCTCTGTCTATTTCTCGCTCACTCTATCCCTTTATCTATCTACCTACCTACTCTCTCTCGACCCTACCGATCTACTGTATTATTCTCTCTTTCTCTCCCTCTCTATCGCTCTATCTACTTACCTAGCTACTTTTTTTAAAAAATTGCCTCTTTAAAACCTTGGTGCATCTTACACTCCGGTGCATCTTATACTCCAAAAATACAGTGTTCGTTATTTGAATTGTACACACATAATAAAATGATGTAGTAACTCTAATAGTATTTCTAATTCTTGCTTTCTTCTGTGTGAAGATTTCAATATTGCTTTTCTAGATTTCTCTTCTAATGTATTTGGAAAGTTATATTATTCCTATAATTCAGGATTTATATTTATGAAAGCACACCGAAGAAGATCATCCGTCCTACTAATGCATAGTCTTATGCTTATTTTAACTATTTCAACTTTCTCATATTTGATTTTGATTCTATCAAAGTCTTTTCAAGATTCCAGTAGATTTGGAGCTTTCCTTTAATACTTTTCTGTACCTTCACACAATTTCTCCCATTGCATTGTTGGATTATACATTTCTTTTTATTTTATTTATCCATTAGTAAAGGTGAAGGTTCCCCTCACACATATGTGCTAGTTGTTCCTGACTCTAGTGGGTGGTATTCATCTCCGTTTCAAAGCTGAAGAGCCAGCGCTGTCCGAAGACATCTGGTCATATGGCTAACATGACTAAACACCAAAGGTGCATGGAACACAGTTACCTTCCCACCACAGGTGGTCCCTATTTTTCTAGTTGCATTTTTATGTGCTTTCGAACTGCTAGGTTGGCAGAAGCTGGGACAAGTAACGGGAGCTCACTCTGTTATGCAGTATTAGGGATTCAAATCACCAAACTGCTGATCTTTCTGATCGACAAGCTCAGTGTCTTAGCCACTGAACCATGTTGTCCCTTCTCTTTATCCATTAAAAACAGCCAAATAAAAGCAAGTATGTGGAAAGAAAAACATTAAAAAAAACTCATGTCATCTCTTACATATTTTAAATAACTTAAGCAACTGAAACACTCACATACTGTATATACATTAAATTCCCCTTTTAAAGGGGAGCATGAACTACCTGCTATGTAGTTGTTAAAAATTAGATTATTAAAGAATGTATTCCCTTTTCTGGTGAAATCACCAATTTTTCCTCCATCACAATTAATTTTAAATGCCTTGATTTCTTTCCATTCTTTAGCAACCAACGCTTAGTCCCAACTATTTTGCTTTTGGACATTTGACCATCCTCATTGATATCAGCTTAGAATATTTATTTATTTGTTTGCTTGCTTGTTACATTTATTTGCTGCTGAAAAATTATAGAATAAAAGTTGCTAAGGAATCTTTCATTTTTTATTGTGCCATGAAGTCTTTACTTTGTACTATGGATTTTACTTCTAGCTTTGACTAGAAATGGATAGTATACAATGCAGCCAAACATGTAACGAGATACCATTATAGAGTTCAATCCAAATTTTTATTCTTATTGTGTTTAATGATAATTTTTTTTTAAAAAATAAACTAACACAAAATCCAGCACAGTATGGATAAAAATAATAACAATAATAATAATATTAAATACAATATAAATTCACAATCAAATGAATATGAAATTCTAAAAACACAAGAAGATTATCAATCAATGAATAAAAATTCATAGGAAACATAAAAAGAAATTTACCTGGGGCCATAAAGTAATAAACGAATAATGAAATTACTTTCTACATTTATTTTCACTGAATCCCTATTCATAGATTTTTGTTTGTGTTTATCTAGTCAGATAATATTACTAGTATTAGTAATATTACTACTAATATCTAGATAACACTAATACTAATGTTATCTAGAATTACAAAAACATGATCATTTAATCATAATAATAATAATAGGATTTTAATAGCTGCAAGGACCCTAGATTTCACTGTAATAACACACTGGTTATGAAATGAAATTTCCATAATTATCCTTTTTACATTGTAATTCATCCAGTATCTATTCTATTCTTTTAAAAAAATGCTTCATCTTCGATTAAACTTTTCCCTTGCCAATTCTTTCCAAATTACAATATGGATAGAAATATTTTTTTTATTAAAATGTATAGAATCAAGGCCATAATCTAAATTACAGTTTTAGGCAAATGTGTTGTTTAGGAAAGTAATTTGGAATTAAATAAATAACCTAGAAGATTAAATTACCTTTGAAATTTGGTCTGATTCTTGCATCATAGCCAGACATTCTTCCCATTAATTTATCCAGAAAATCTGAAGGAGACATTGGTATATTACGGGATCTCGCACTGTCAATTTCCTTGGTTGCCACCAAACTAAAAGCAAGAAAATTTTTCATCAGTGTAACCATACATTTTTTTTCAGGTCTTAAAAATGATATACTTGTAATATGAGATTTCATCATTTCAGTTCAGCATCACAGTCAAAGCCAACCCTCCCCAAATCACCATACAATTTGCTAGATTTTATTTCAATATTTTTTAACAAGACTCACTATTGTTTTCTGAAAAAAATGTTTGTTACACAAACTACACAAGTTACCAATGAGCTTCCAGCTGCAATTCAAGGGTAGATTGTTACCTTGACTCTGCTATCCTTTCAAATGGCTAGTTTTGGTATGTCCATTTAGGTTGAACCATATTGGGTTGGTTTGTGATGTATATTTATTATTAAATAAATTTTAAATAATTCACTTTTTAAAGCATTTTTTCCCTGCTGGTTTGGACAAATAGGCAGGAAAAAATGCTTTAAAAAGTGGGAAAAAAGCTTCCGACAATCGCGCGGCTCACAGCTGTGTTGCATGATCATCAGAAACTCCCCCCCCCCACTTTTTAAAGCATTTTTTCCTGCCAGTTCAGGGGAAAAGGCAGGAAAAAGGCTTTAAAAGAGGGGGGGGGGGGTTGTCTGATGATCATGCAACACAGCTGTGAGCCGCGCGATTGTCGGAAGCTTTTTTCCCACTTTTTAAAGCATTTTTTCCTGCCTATTCAGGTGAATAGGCAGGAAAAATGCTTTAAAAAGTGGGGGGGGGAGTTTCTGATGATCATGCAACACAGCTGTGAGCCGCGCGATTGTCGGAAGCTTTTTTCCCACTTTTTAAAGCATTTTT